CTTCCCCCCGGGGCCCGATTCCACGGCGGCGGAAATCGGGCCTCCAAAGCGGGGGGTTACCCGCCACCCGCCCCCACTTGGCAGCCCTAGCTGGGACACAGAGGCAGGCAATAGCAGGCCACTTCTCTGAAATGTCCAAGCCCCACTAGAGGTCACCAGAAGTCAACCGTGACTTCCAGGCGTGCATGTGCACACCCACCCACAAAAAATATTTCCTGTTGTGACTGGCAGCTGCTCACCAGAGTCTCAGGCAGAGGTTTTTCACATCACCTACTTCCCAATTCTTTTCACTGGAGATGCAGCCTGGGATCCAAACTGGGATCTTCTGTTTGCAAAGAAAGTTCTCTACTGCTGAGCCACAGCCCCTACCTGTCGTGTTAACCTTGTAATGCTGAACTGAAATGATAACCTGCTGACTTTTGCTACAGTAATGAAGAAATAGGAAGTTATAGGACACTGACCCAGGAGGAAAGCGCCATTTGACCTGTCTTCTTTCTAATAACATTGTTTAGAAATCATGACAACTTCAGGGTAAGAGAACTTCCGAATGAAGAGCTATAAAAACAAGTCTTTGAATCCTGATGAAATGCGTCGCCGGCGGGAGGAAGAGGGCCTTCAGCTACGGAAGCAAAAACGAGAAGAGCAGGTATGGCCGAGTTTTTCTAATGGCTGGGCTGCTAAGAGGTGACTAACCTTAGGCTCCAAGGTAGAGTGGAGATTCTGTTGGTGTGCCTGCTGCACTGTGGGCTCCCCTGACTCTGTCACCCAGATGTGTTGTCCTGGTGACCGCTATTGGCATTTGTATCAACGACTGAGTTATTTTCAGATCACTTTCTTTTGGAGTCACAGATCCACACGTGGCCTCCAGTGGCGGGAGGAAGAGGGCCTTCAGCTACGGAAGCAAAAACGAGAAGAGCAGGTATGGCGGAGTTTTTCTAATGGCTGGGCTGCTAAGAGGTGACTAACCTTAGGCTCCAAGGTAGAGTGGAGATTCTGTTGGTGTGCCTGCTGCACTGTGGGCTCCCCTGACTCGGGCCCTTGCGACTCTGTCACCCAGATGTGTTGTCCTGGTGACCGCTGTTGGCATCTGTATCAGCGACTGGGTTATGGTCAGATCACTTTCTTTTGGAGTCACGGATCCACACGTGGCCTCCAGTTAGGTCAGTCTGCTTCCCAGTCCTTGCAAAGCCAAATAGATCCCAGAACCCTGTGAACTTTGTCCTCCAACTAGCAGTGTGGTTGAATTGTAGCAGCAGCAGCAGGTTGATTTTGGTGGCTAATACAGAGGGCAGAGCCAGCATGGTGTAGTGATTCCCCACTCCTCTTCCACATGAAGCCTGCTGGGTAACCGTGGGTCAATCGGAGTTCTCTCAGAGCTCTCTCAGCCCCACCTACCTCAATGGGTGTCTGTTGTGGGGAAGGGAAGGCAATTGTAAGCCCCATTGCGACTTCTTAAGATAGAGAAAACTGAGGTGTAAAAACCTCTTCTGCTGCTGCTTGGGCACAGGTGACCTTTCCTAGTGTAGATGCTGCAGCCATAGTCCTTTAAGTTCACAGTTGGTTGACTGCATTTATGGATGTGTAATCTTGAGACTGGCCTGTGGTAGTGAGGTCCATAAGGACGGGCCTGTGGTAGCGAGGAGGACCCATCATGAGCTGGACTAGCTCTATAAAGGAAGCCACAAAGGCCCTCGGTCTCCAAGACCTGAGCATGGCTGTTAACGATAGGACATTCTGGAGAACATTAATTCATAAAGTCATTGGAAGTGACTTGGCAGCACTTAACTCACACGTACTTCATGCACAGTTGCGTGTGGGTAAGGCTATGTGCTCTATGTATGTCTCCCTTTTCATTGTTTAAGTGGCCGTCCTTAACAAGCACTCACAGCCATTACTTTGTCTTTCTGTATCCCCCTGCTCGTGTAGTTGCACCCCCCCCAAATGAGAAATCTGTAGCTCACTTTGTGGTCATATCTAAATCCTGTATGTTGGTTGTTCAATTCTGATCCTCAGCTTTGTTGTGCAGTTGTAAAATAATGGTTAGCTGTAACCCCAGTACTTCTCTCCCTCTCTCTCCCCCCTTCCCTCCCTTCCTCCAGTTGTTTAAGCGCAGAAATGTTGCTACGGCGGATGAAGAAGCAGAGGAGGAAGTTATGTCAGATGGCGGGTTCCACGAAGCCCAGATGAATAACATGGAAATGACTTCTGTGAGTGATCTGGACAAGTGCTCTCGGCGACTCCACTCAGAGCTGTGATCAGGGGGTCAAGTGTTTGTCTAAGGCTGTGGGGTGGCGTTCTTTGTTTGCAATATTTATCAGCTGCTCTTCAGAATGGAAGGCTGCCGATGAATTAAGCCATCTGTCAAGTAGTGACCTGAGAGTGTCTGCCTAAAACAAGCAGGAGTTGAAAGCTTGGTCAACAGCTCAGTTGAAAGCATTAGAAGACCCAAGAAACAGTTAAAAACAACAAATCACTCCTTTACAGAAATGAGGCCCAAGGGCCCCTCTTGGGGCAAGTATTCCAGAGTTCTGGAGCCAACTACAGAGAAGGCCTTGTTACGTGTTGTCAATCAGTCTGTCCTCCCTGTGAGCCAGCCCCCTCCGGATGATTTCGGTGGATGGGGGTGGGGGAGGGAATAATAGTGAGAGAAATGGCACACTGGCATCTCTGTCCTGAGATGCTTTGATTCAGCAGCAGTGACGTGGGTATCAGCATGGAAGTGCAAATACTGGGTCCGTTTTTTAAAGTACAAAAATGTCTTTCAGACGGTGTAGCCATTTTCTCTGTTTTGTGCTTAAAGCTCACTGCTTTTGAACCTATCCGTATGAAGGACCTCACACACACACACACACACCCTTTGCCTTCAGAGCTTAGATGGTGGTGATGAGCGACAGGGCATTTTCTGTGGTGGCACCTTGCCTTTGGAATGCCCTCCTCCTTGAGGCTTGCCTGGTGCCTACATTCTTTTACGAGCCAAGCTAAACCACATCTTTCCCCCACCCCGGGGTTTTAATTAGGGGGTTTATCTTATCAGCTTTTTAATGGCTCTTTTTAGTATTACAGCTTCTACTTGTAAGCCACCTCCAGCAGGACTCTGAAGAGGTGGCATAGAAATACTATAGATAGATAAACCTTGCCCCTTGGACCCCTGACAGATATTTTGCCTCTGACTTTGTGACAGGAGTGACTTAACTTCCCTTTCCCTGTTGTGATTGCAGAATGCAGTGATCACCTCTGATATGACTGAGATGATTTTTTCCAATAGCCCAGAACAACAGCTGTCAGCCACCCAGAAATTTCGAAAGCTTCTCTCAAAAGGTGAGCGTTAGCAGAGTTAAGGAAGGCATCGCCTGTGGGGCTAGAATAGCAAAGCAACAAGGTGTGGGTGTGTGCATGGGGGAGGGCACCTGAACAGTAGGGTTAGGGCAGGGGATACCGGCACACTGCCCCCTTCCTCAGCTCCCTGTTTAGTGGCAGAATCAAGATGGCGGCGCTCCTGCTCTCTTTGTCCTTCTGTCGAACAGGTTACTGTGGAAGAGCTGGGCAAGGAGGGGATAAGAAACATGAAAGTACTTGGATGGGCCTTGAGAGTACAGCGTTAAATAACGGCTTAGTTGTTTCTGCTGGGAAAATACTTAAAAGGACATGGCAGATATCTAAGTGGTTAGATCATTGCTGTAAACCTGATATATTCATAGGCAGAACCAGCGCGCACAGAGAACAAGCATACTGCTGCTCCACCTCTTCCCGCAACAAAACCTGGTGGGTTAGCCATGTCTCTCTTGTATGCTGGTTCTGTCCCACAGTCTTCATTCACAATCGTGAGGTTGGAACTTGCATGCATACAGTCGGTACACACTCTGCCCACGCTTTGGTGAATGGGCACAGGAGGTGCGAGGCCAGTGTAATTCCAGACCCCCCTTCCTAGTCCCACCCACCCCGTGCAAACACAGCATGTAGACAGGGCTGCTTTGTGTTACAATGGAACTAGGGGGGAGAGGAATGTGATACACGTTAAGTCCATTCGAGCCCTGACCTGGGTAGCCCGGACAAGCCCGATATTGGAAGCTAAGCAGGGTCGACTCTGACAAGTACTTGGATGGGAGACCTCCTTGGAATACCAGCAGTTGGGAGGCAGGGGCAGGCTCTATTCAGCCACCTCTCTGAATATCCTCCAGGCCCCCAGTAGGGGTTAATCACCAGAGGTCACCATGATTTCCAGCTGCACACACAGTCACCATGACTTCCAAGGGCACACATACATGCACGCACTCTCACATGCACATATGAAAAATACAATACCCCCCCCCCAACCCTCTTTACGGCCATTCAACTGTGATTTGTTCAACACCCATTCATTTACCCCAACTTCGTGTTTTTGCTTGAACCCGCCTTTCGGATTCTTGCAAACTCGCATTTTCTGCCCTGTACGCCATCTTGAGCCTGTCAAAGTTGCTTCCTTTGGAGAGCATCTGTGCCTCCATTAGAATAAGTGTGGCTGTAGACCTCTGAATACCAGTGGTAGGTGGCAACCTCAGGGGAAGTGGTTAAGCGCTTGCCAGGGGAGGCCTGGGGCCACCAAACAGGGTGTAGAGGCCTCCGGGAGGCCCAGTTGACCGGCTGTTGTTTGAATCAGGCTGCTGGACTGTTTGACCCTCTGGTCTCATCCATCAGGGCTGCTCTTCTGTTCTTATGCCTCATTAAAATACAGAAGGGGCCAGTCTATCTCTGATCTCTAGTCTTATAGTTGCCGCAAGGACATCTGTTGCCTTGAAATGGGAGTCACACCAACCACCCATGATCAACCAGTGGTACTCCAAAGTTTGGAACCTCTTTATAATGGAGAAAATCACGGACCACATAAGACAAGCCGATTCTAGATCAGTTCATCTCGGTTCATGCCAAAAATGGCTACCCTTCCTAGAACACATATTATCTACTGACCTCTAACCTCACAACCCAATATATCTTCAATTACTTTTTTGTGAGCTAACTTCCTTAACTTGCATACTCTCTGAAACTTCACAACACACATTTGGTTTAGTCGTTGTACACACCTCAGTTTGATTTTACCTTTAACTTTTCATTAATTACTCATACAATTCTAAATGAAACTTATTAGCTGTATTACTGAGCATTTCATTCTGAGTCAATTTTGAACCTCTTATCTGGTTGTTATTCCGATGTTCTGATTATTGTTATATGAATATGTTGACTATACTGTCTTAGTAACATCTCCTGTCCTACGTACTATGTAGATCTTGTTATTGTGTAATCATTACTTTATTTGTTACTTCAATAATTCAACATTGTTTGTTGACATAACATTCAATTTTTTAAAAAATGAAAAATACAGAAAGTGGAAGGTACAAATAATACCTGAAGTGCTGATGCCAGTTACTCAGGCAATGAATTGCTTCTAATGTGAACGCATAAATCCATTAAAAGGGTGGAAACCGTTCTGATGCCTTCTTGTCTTGTACCTTTCGAAACAGAACCGAATCCTCCTATAGACGAAGTCATCAGCACACCGGGAGTCGTGGCCCGGTTTGTGGAGTTCCTCAAGCGAAAGGAAAACTGCACTTTACAGGTGTGCCACATATGGATTCCCCCCCCCCTCCCCTTGCTTAGCAATTTGTTCAATGGACTTTGTTAACGAAAAGAAGCAAAATGGGGCTGGCTTAAGTAAAGATGATGGGATATTTCAGGGAACCTCTGCTTTATCACGGAGGAGTCTGTCTATCATTTTATATCCCACTCTTCCTCCACGGAACTCAGGGTAGTATTCCTCCACTCCTGTAGTTCAGCTTCGGTACGTAAATTAGATATTTTTGTCTAAGAAATTCCATGCACTAGCATGCAGTTGTTTGTTGTTCACAATTAGGAGCAGACATCCTGCTGTGAATGTCCGTCTGTTTTTGTTCCTTTGCTTAGGGGACTGGCTGTTTTGAAAACCCTCACCCTCTTCTTGCACACACACCCTCAGCTGCTTTACCTGGAATGATGTTGCAACATCATCAAAGTGGGACCTCTGTATGGGGACACCCTAAGGACCTTAAGTCAAGGGCAGGATACACTCATTTCACTCCGTCCATTCTTCAGTTCTGTGCCAACATTTCTTTTTCAAAAAACCCTCATTGCTGTTCTGTGTCCTCCTAGGAGTTAAGAGATTAGTCCTAGAATATGGATACGTTTCTAACAATGGCAACCTAAGCACAGTTTCTCCCTTCTCCGCCCATTGAACTCAAACCGGCTTTAGAAGGGATTGTCTCCGTTTAGGGTGGCGCTGTAAGTCTACAGTCAGTAGAGCTGCTTCCCAGTTCAGTACACGTAAGATTAGGAGGATGTAAACAGGGGAGATCTGTAATTAATATTAACAATACGCTTTGTAGCTATCGTTTCAGAGGGTAGGCATGTCGGCCTGCAGAAGAAGAGCTTGATTCGAGCCCAGTAGCACCACGGAGACTAACAAGATTTTGGGGGCATCAGCTTTTGAGCGTCCAAAGCTCCCTTTCAAACTTTGTTTCCGGAAAGCACGTACCTGGAAGATCTTTTCGGTCTCTAAGGTGCTACTGGATTTGAATCTGGCTCTTCACTTTGCAGTTGTGTAATGCTTTTAGAACAGTGTTCCCGCAAAAATCCTTCCTCCCTACTATGTAGAGAGCCAGTTTCGTATAGTGGTTAGGAGCGTGGACTCTAATCTGGGGGAACAGGTGTTTGATTCCCCACTCCTCCACATGCAGCTGCTGGCGTGAGCTTTGGTCAGTCATAAGTTCTTTCAGAGCTGTTCTCTCAAGGGCAGTCAGTCCTCGAGAGAGCTCTCTCAGCCCCACCTACCTCCCAGGGTGTCTGTTGTGGGGAGGGGAAGGGAAAGGAGATTGTAAGCCGCTCTGAGACGCCTTCAGGTAGAGAAGGGCAGGGTATAAATCCAATCTCTTCCTCCTCCTCTTCTTCTTTAATTGATATCTCATTTTTCATAGATATGTATTTTAGTCCTGGTTTTTAATCTTTTTTAGGATGTCTGTTTTTGTTGTTAGCTACCTTGGTGGCCCTGATTGGGCTGAAAGGTACAATTCTTTAAACTAAATAAATTTTGGATGGAAAGAGCACATAGTGAGAAAGAGCCAATGCACATTTTTTTTTTTTAGGATGTCTGTTTTTGTTGTTAGCCACCTTGGTGGCCCTGATTGTGCTGAAAGGTGCAAATCTTTAAACTAAATACATTTTGGATGGAAAGAGCACATAGTGGTGGCATTTAATGTGTCTGTGGGATGAAAGTGAGGACACCTGGGTGGCCTGGATGTTTGCTGTAGCCAAGTTCCTCATTCGCTGTCCTGCAACCTCGGCTCTGTAGCAGAGACCTTTGAATGGAAACCCATTATGTCCTCTGACAGTTACTGAAGGATGGTTCCCTCTTTTTGTGTGTGTGTTCCAGTTTGAAGCTGCCTGGGTGCTGACGAACATCGCCTCTGGAAATTCCCTCCAGACGCGGATTGTGATCCAAGCCGGAGCTGTCCCTATCTTCATAGAGCTGCTCAGCTCAGAATTTGAAGACGTGCAGGAGCAGGTCGGTAAAGGAACGAGACCTCAAGACAGTAAAACTTCTGTGGGGAGGCAAGGATAAAATAGGCCTGGATTTGCATAGCGCACCCATGTCTATCAGAGGGAAGTCAGAATGAGGACCTGTTACCATTCCTTGTTGAGCACAAGTCATTGGGCTTCTTCCTGTCCCTAATTCCTTTTTCCCCCCTCCATGCTTATTTATATATTTTTAATACACAAACAATTAAATGTATAATCAATCATTGAAAAACTTTACATTGAGGCTGTTCTTTAACATTATTATCTGTCCATTTATACAATCTCAACCATCTTTTCAAGAAAAATTCTTCTCCTTTTCCCTGAATTAACAAGCTTAATTTGTCCATTTCTGCTAGCTAACGTTAACAATTTCAAACTTATCTCTTCCTTACTGGTTTTTTTTCCTAATTTCCAATATTTGGCCAGAAGTATTCTCGCAGACGTTATTATAAGAGTCACTAAGTAGGCATCATGATAGTTAAAATGATTCAGAAGTTGTATAACCTATTAATAGAAGAATATATGCAAGATGAAATCGTGAAATCTGTAATGATTTTATGGATGAAAGATATGGGACATACCATTGAAATGGATAAATGGTCTAAAATATGGAAATCAACTAAACAAATAAGAGCCATTCCATACAAAGAAAATATCCTTAAAGTGCTTCATAGATAGTATTGGCCACCGGAAAGAATAGCAAAGTGTTATGTGAATAGCTAAAATAAATGTTGGAAATGCAAGATTAAAAAGTAAAAATTCAAAGATTTTGGGATAAAGTACAGCGAATAATTTGGGAAATAATGGATATTGATTTAATGTTAGATCCAGAAATATATTCTTGTCTCTAATTCCAATTCTGCTGAAACCTGTCCATCCAGTTATCTGTTTGGAAAGGCAGCAAGTTTTTCACTTTTTTTGTGTGTTACTGTTTTGGGGCTGTGGTTCTCTACGAGTAATACTTGAAGCAGTGCACCAGATCAGAACATGAACCAACAAGGTTGTCATCACTGAAGTTCTGGCAGGCAAGCTGTGCTTGTATCTTGCCAAGCAAATGGCTTCTGTGAATATTGCTCCATATTAGGAAAGACCGGCTCTTGAAGGGCCTGTGATAGTTTCTTCTGCTCTGTGGCTTCTCTCCCAGCACAATCTGCACAGATGTAGTCCTTAGCTGTGGCTGGCCCCAGGAAAGTCACAGATGTTTAATCTTCAGTGTATCATAAAGCATTGTGTGGTCTGGGAGCCCGGTCACACGTACCCATAAGTGGTTGGGTCTCCCATGTGTGCTGGAGTAGATGTCTCCCAGCACAATCTGCACAGATGTAGTCCTTAGCTGTGGCTGGCCCCAGGAAAGTCACAGATGTTTAATCTTCAGTGTATCATAAAGCATTGTGTGGTCTGGGAGCCCGGTCACACGTACCCATAAGTGGTTGGGTCTCCCATGTGTGCTGGAGTAGATGGGTGTGTCACTCTCATATGAGAATTTGTGATGGAGATGCTGCATATGTGTTTTGTGCTGTAGGACCAGGTGTATTCTTCTGCCTATGCAGGAGGGTGTGCTGCTGTGGCATGACTTGGGGAAGGAAGGTATTTAAAGTTTAAATCCTTGACTTGCAGAGTTGCGCCGCGGCACAACTCTGCGATTCACATGGGTGGTTTGGCCTTACAAAAGCCATTTAAAGGAAACTCCCTTTAGCCAAGCTGCATGTGAGAAACCCAGAAGTAGTGTCAGTTCACCCAGAAGGTGTGTTAGTGAAGCTGTGCTTGAATAAAAGCTGAGTAATATCTGCTTTTATTCGGGCTCAGCTAGCTCAGTAGCCAAATCAGAATAAATTGGTGAATAAATACCAATAAGGTATTTTTCGAGTATTTATTCCGCTCGGTATATACCAAGGACACACCCCCTAGTATACGTACTGAATGTAAGAACATAAGAAGAGCACTGCTAGATCAGACCAGTGGTCCATCTAGTCCAGCATCCTGTCTCACACAATGGCCAGCAAGTTCCTCTGGACGGCCAACTACAAGGCAGAGAGGCTGAGGCCTCCCCCTGATGTTGCCTCCTGGCTCTGGGTTTCAGCGGTTTAGTGCCTCTGAATGTGGAGGTTCCCCTCAGCCACCATGGCTAGTAGCCATTGGTAGACTTTTCCTCCATGAATCTATCTAATCCCCCTCTAAAGCTGTTTATTCCCTTGGCCACCTCTACATCCTCTGGCAGCGAATTCCACATTTTAATCACTCTTTTGTGTAAAGTGAAATTTCCTTTTGTCCATCCTGAACCTACTGCCCATCAGCATCATTGGGTGCCCTTGAATTCTAGTTCTTTAGGAGAGGAAGCTATATTTCTCTCTGTCAACTCTCTCCACTCCATGCATCATTTTATAAACCTCTATCGTGTGTCCCCTTCCCCCCTTAGTTGTCTCTTTTCTAAACTGAAAATACCCAGACTCTTCAGCCTTTTGTCATAAGGAAGGTGCTCCAATCCCATAATCGTCCTGGTTGCCCTCTTCTGTACTTTTCCCAGCTCTGCAGTGTCCTTTTTGAGATTCGGTGACCAGAACTGGACACAGGATTCAAAATGAGGCCGCAGCAGAACAGAAGAATTACTCTGTATGCATTAAAAAAAAAAGAGGTTCTTTTTAGTAATTATGATTCCGGTGCTCCAGCCTTGCATACCAGGAGGGAAACATTCGCACAAACTGCTGAATGTGAATTTCAAGAAGAGCCCCGTCTGTGCCTTCACAGGACACAATGCAGGAGTACCAAAACTGCAATAACCAAAAAGGGATCAAGTGTGCACTGTACATGGATTCTCTGTGGGTTCACTGTACCATGTGCGCTGGTCTTTTGTCAGGATGTTTTGACGACTGCATTAGTAAACGCCTGCAGCTTGTGGCATGGGTAGTCCAGTGTCCAGTTGTCTTAACAGCTTTCCTCTCGCTCTTGTCGGCTGTTTCGGAGTGCCAAGGCTGCAGTAGTGTTGCTTCTCAGCTGTTGTTATGAGTTTTTAAAACTTGTACAGCCATTCAGAATCCAAAAAACAAGAACAAAATCTGTGTAATACCTTTGATCAGCACCAACCCGGTTGACACACGAATCTTCAAGCTTTTAAGCCCACCAAATGCTCCCTCTAAGCTGTGGAGTCTTGTGAGCAAAAATGCTACTCTGTGAGCTACTGGCATTAAAGTTGTGAGCAAGCAGTTTGGCTGCTGCATAAATTAGCTTGCTCCGGAGCCCTCCTTCCTGAGCCAAGACCAACATCTGTGAGCTGGAGGCTAAAAAACTGTGAGCTGGCTCACACTAACTCGGTTTAGAGGGAACATTGATCATCCGGCTTAGATGTTATATTAAAGATTAAAGGGTAGAAGAGCGGAAAGCAGATCTCTCAGGTCAACAAGATGTGCAAACTGTGATTTAAGGTCTGGTCATGCCGGCTTCCTTAACAAGAATTACCCTGTTAACTGCATTTTAGAGGGAACATTGATCATCCGGCTTAGATGTTATATTAAAGATTAAAGGGTAGAAGAGCGGAAAGCAGATCTCTCAGGTCAACAAGATGTGCAAACTGTGATTTAAGGTCTGGTCATGCCGGCTTCCTTAACAAGAATTACCCTGTTAACTGCATTCCACAATCACAGTGGACATCCTTCAAGACTAATTACGCCCTCGTTTACTGAGTCAACTGGCAGTATCCTGTGTCTTTTCCAGTGACTTTATTCTGTAGCTCTAGCTTTGATCCTAGGTGTTTGGCTGGGTACGAACAGTTTGCTCAGGATCTTCTCAACTTTCCCCAACTCAGAAACAGCTCAGTGCTGTTCTAGCACCTTGCAAACAGCCACAGCATGTTCATAGTGATCGGGAACATACCAAAGGCAGGGATCCCCAGCCTGGTGCCGATGGGCACCACACCATTCAGCAACACCTTTCCTGGTGCCCACCAACGGTTTTTATAAAGTGGGCAGAGCCAGGTGGGGCTTTTGCCTGGCAAGGCTTCTGGAGATTCAATTGGCTGTGCAGATTTTTAAAAACATTGCTTTGGTGGCGGCAGCTGCCCCCACGGCACAAGGATCGTCATTGTGTGACTGAAGGTAATCCGTGGCAGCCGTTTTGTAGCTGCGCCCGGCATGCTGTGCCGGAATTCCAGAGGAGCCGACGGGCTCAGAAAGTCGGGTGGTCCCTGTTCCAAAAAGTCACTACTGTGGAAATGGCTGTTGGGTCTATAGGAAGTCTTCCCCATCCCCTCTTTTTCCCTGTAATTCTTTAGTGCCCTGAACAAGAAGCTGTGCCAGCTCGTCAGGCAGTTCTTGTGCCTTTCGCTGCGTCACTAACACCACACTGTGGTAGAGCTTATTAAGCGTATATTGTGAAAGAGCCAATGTCATGCATACACTCCCAGTACCCCAGCCTTCGACATGCTCCTCTTGCCTCATTTCCCCTGGGGTCTGCTGTTGTTGAGTATCCTGCCAAGTTCCCCCCCCCCCCCCCCGAACCAGAGCATTGGCCTCAAACAGGGGAACGAAAAGAGCCGGCTGGGTAGCACATATAGTGCCTTCTGTCTTCCACACGCACTCTGCTTACCCAACTGAACTCAAGTCCGGGGGCAGTGCGCGATTTCATCACGGGACGCGGCCGAGGCTGATCAGGACTTGGTAGTCCATGTGCCTCTCGAGGGCCGACGCTGCCTGCCTACCTTTTCAGGAGACACCTAAAGCAAGCAGCTTGGCAAGCGGGTGGATATTTGAAGTCCGGCCACTAAGACTGGTGTCCCATGTGCGCCCCCCCCCCCCGTACAAACTCCTTCTGCCCCAACTTCTGCAGGGTGTCTTCAACTACCTATTCTGCTGGATAGATTCAGGTGCAATTGTCTCGTGTTAATGTTTGACTCTGAAAGACTTGGGTGGAGGTGGGAGAAGTTGCCCAAGAAACGGCACGCCTGAGACGTCTGTGTTATGCAGAAGTCATCGTTAGCTCTGGTGCGCAGTGGCAGAGGCTTCAGTGTCAGGGCCTAGGATGCTGGAAAGATGTGCTCTGTTTCGGTGACGCTGTCCCGTCTGCTTCTTTCGGCAGGCCGTGTGGGCTCTTGGCAACATTGCAGGCGACAGCACCATGTGCCGAGACTACGTCCTGGACTGCAACATCTTACCCCCTCTATTGCAGTAAGTCTTGCCGAGAGTGTACAAAGTTCCTTGGGGACTTGGGCGAGGGAATGCTGTTTGCTGCTGAGGTCCTGCCCAGATAGGGGAGGGTGTGTGTGTGTTGTCCTGTCTACTGTTTCTTCACAAAGGAGCAGTGCTGTACGGGCACCAAAGACCAGGGTTCTGTGTGCAAAGTAATAGAGCCAGACGCAGACAGGCGTGCCTGTCTAGTCAGCTTTGCATAGGCTTGTTACTGTAATACGTGCCGTTGGGAGGAATGTAGATGGAGAAGTATTTATCACTATTTGCCGTTCTTCCCCAGCGATGTGCTGTAGCTTGAATCATGCAAATAGGACTGTCACTGAACTCATGAGAACATAAGAAGAGTCCTGCTGGATCAGGCCAGCGGTCCATCCAGTCCAGCATCCTGTCTCACCCAGTGGCCAACCAGGTCCTCTAGGGCTGCGATCACACACACTAAATAATCCATAGGCCTTTTTATTTTCACTCCCAAGGGCCCACACCACCTAAAATGCTATATTTTCCCCTGCCAGCTCGCATAGTAAAATCCAGTTGGAAAGCACATTGAAAGTGGCTTGAAAGTGGATTATTTAGTGTGTGTGATCGCAGCCTAGAAGTCCAAGAACAGGGCATACAAGCCTTCCCCTCATATTGTCTCCTGGCACTGAGATTCAGACATTGACTACCTCTGAACGTAGAGGTTCCCTTGAGTAGTGGCTGATAGGTCTATCTTCCATGAATCTGTCTAATCCCCTTTTAAAGCTGTCTACTCCTGTGGCCATCACTGCGTCCTCTGGCAGTGAATTCCATTTCCCCCCCCAGTTTGTGTGTGTGCTTGCATACCTGGAAGCCATGGTGACTTCTGACGATCGACATTTCAGAGAGGTGGCTTAGTATTGCCTGCCTCCTGGTATTCCTCGGAGGTCGCCCTTCCAAGTACTTTCCAGGGTCGGCCCCTGCTTAGCTTCTGAGATCTGATGAGATTGGGTTTGCCTGGGCTATCCAGGTCAGGGTGTGGATGCCACATTTTAATCACTCTCTATGTTTAAAAAAAAAAAAAGTATTTCCTTTTGTCCATCGTGAACCTACTGCCCATCAGCTTCTTTGGATGCCCTTGAGTTCTAGTATTTTGGGAAAGGGAGGAAAAATTTCTCTTTTGTCAGCTGTCTCCACTCCACGAATAATAAACCTCCAACATGCCCCCCCACTTAGTCCCCCACTTTTCTAAACTGGAAAGTTGTAGATTTCCTCAGCCTTCCCTCATAGGGAAGGTGTTCCAGTCCCTTAATCATCTTGGTTGCCCTCTTCTGTACTTTTCCCAGCTCTGCTATGTCCTTTTCGAGATAACGGTGACCAGAAACAGCACACAGTATTCCAAATATGGCCGCACCATAGATCTATACAGGGGCATATCATATAGGCCATTTTATTTTCAATCCAACAGGCCCACACCACCTCCCAGGTTTGTTTGTTTTTAAACTGCTGCAGATGATGGGAAGAGGCACGTGAAACATTACGATGCGAGTATCAGTCTATGCACCCATGGGATTCTAATCTGAACTCATTGGGGATTGCATCACACTCTGTATTCTCTGTGCATTTTGAAACCTGGGCAGACAGAAGCTTCCGTGAAGACCGGAGCGTTGCCAGTGCTCTCTAAAGCAGGGGCACATTCCTGCAGAGAGCATCCATTGATTCAGCGGGTGAACAGTTGAGCCAGCTACTTTGCTGCATGACTGAACAAGGTTCACTACAAAGCACCAACTTTGTTCTGTTTGCTGTGGATTGGTTGCTGCTGGTGCAAGAACGGGGAATCATTGCATAGATCCATTTATGTGGCAAGGGACAAGCATCGCTTATTCCAGGGGTCCCCAGTGTGGTGCCCGTGGGCATGATGGTGCCCACCGACATCTACCTTTTCTGTTTTTAAGAAGTGGGTTGGGCCAGGTAGGGCTTTTGCCCAGCAAGGCTTCTGATTGGCTGTTGGGGATCTGATTGGCTGTGCGGGTTTTTTTTAAATGTTGCTTTGGCAGCAGCTGTCACCACAACACAAGGACCTGCGCTACACTACTGACATTTTGTGGCTGGCTCTGCCTCCTGTGGCAGCCATTTTGTTGCTGCACCCACCACGCCCACGTCAGAATTCCATTTGTGCCCCTAGGCTCAAAAAGGTTGGGGCCCCCGGGCTTATTTAGACATCTTACAAGCAATGCTCCCTCTAAGCTGTGGAGTCTTGTGAGCAAAAAATCTATTTTGTGTGCTACTGACATTAAAGTTGTGAGTGAGCGATTTGGCTCCTGCATAAGTTAGTTTGCTCTGGAGCCCTCCTTCCTGAATGAAGACAAAAATCTGTGAGCTGGAGGCTAAAAAACTGTGAGCTAGCTCACACAAACTCAGCTTAGAGGGAACACTGCTTACAGGATAAGTCTTAGGTTACTGAAACACTTGAGGAAGAGACAAAACGGCGCTTGGCCCCGCCAATTCCATCCTGACTAGTTTGTTGATGCCTTTTCTTTTAAGCCTAGTTTCGCATCAGGAAGAAGAGAGATGGTCATAGGGTCGGTCACCTCAGTGCTTCTTTGTATACAGTATTCCCTTCATCTCGCTATGGTTTCGGTGGAAAACATTTTCCTCTCTTTTCAGATTGCTTTCGAAACAGAACCGTCTTACCATGACTCGGAATGCTGTGTGGGCGCTCTCTAATCTTTGCAGAGGGAAGAATCCTCCTCCAGATTTTGCCAAGGTGGGAAATAATTTATTTATTTTTTATTTATTTTTTATTTTCCATTTGTGTCCTGCCTTGCCGGGTGAACTGGCTCAGGGCGGCGTACAGACACGGAAGGAGCTGAGAAGGAAGGGTGTGGACTTCGTAAGGGGGCGGTGGGGGGGTTGTAGCCAGAGCGTCTTTTAACGTTTCCCTTAAGGGCAAATGGAGCAAGAGATGCCATCGGATCGCTTTTTAAAAAATGAAAGCAGACTTGGGGAAAAGGGGAGACAACAGTAATATGGAGCAGACAATTTTCCACTGCTGTGTTTTCCCCTGGAAAATTCTCTGTCCCACATATGTAAATATAGTCTATAATTGTCAGTGCTGTTGTTCTGCAGATTGATCATGTCAGAAGGACTAAATGTGGGATACGATGCATGGACAGACCCCCAGTGCTTGTTACATGGTGCATTTGCTTTCTATTACTCAATATTTAAAAAATTTCAACTGGAAAATTTTCTCATTCAGATTTTCCCTCAAAACTCACAACACTAGAGAGAATCAAGTTGAAGCAGCAGCACTGTGGGAGAGGGTGTGCCATCTTCCCAACCTAAATCCCTACCTCCAGCTGCTGCTAACATCTGCATGTATGGTCTTCTCCTCTGAGAGTGGGAAAGGTGCGGAGGGGGAAGAGTAAACACTGTTTTCTCCCCACCACTTCCCAGTCTGTATTGAGTGTTTTAAAATCAACAGACCAGGAGAGCCTATCACAGATGCTGTTTCATCCAGATTGAACACTTAATGAATAGGCCTTTTAAAAGATCTGGAGGTTTCTGAGAGTTTGGTGCATTTCAGACATCAGGGACGTAACTAAGAGCTGCACAAAGGTGAACTGGGGTTCAGCTGAGGCAGTAATAACCTCATACAGGGTGCTGGCACTTGATGGCAAGGGAAGTAACTTTGCAGCTCACTTCAGGGCAGGGTATGGCAGGCAAGGTGGCTTTTGGACCCTAGTTTCTTCCTCTCCCTCATGATTGCATTTTGTAAATTATACCATCTAGATCAGGGGTATTGAACTCATTTGTTATGAGGGCCAGATCTGACATAAATGAGACCTTGTTGGGCCTGGCCTAGTGTGTAATAAAATGTAATGCCAGGTAGCAGAGATATAAACTCAACACAAACACAAAGATCAAATGAAAACATGCAAGCTGCAAACCTACTTTTGATTTATTGGCATTCACCACAGAAATCTCCTGCTCAGAGTTCTGAGTCTAGGACCCAGGTTAAAACATGAAAAGGCTGAGTGATTAAGAGAGTCTGGTGAAGCAAGCTATGATGCAGCAGCAGCAGCAGAACTGGAAGCAGGAGATGGCCCAGTTCCACTGCGGGCCTGATAGAAGCCCTCCGAGGGCCTGATTCAGCCCCCGGGCTGCATTTTTGACACCCCTGATCTAGATACTCATCCTTACTCACCTTTAGAATTCCGTCACAATGTGCTTATTTTCCTCAGTGATTAGGCTGGTAAGACTAATCTGTGTTTGCTGAGGGATACTCTGGAAGAGAAAAGGATTCTGCTTTGCACCATAAACCTACTGGATGCTTAAAGCGTATCAATCAATCAATTTATTGCAGTCCTAGACCAGCAAGCAATACAATAAGAGGCAAGTAAATAACAGGTAAAAAGAACAGTAACATTATAAAATATAATAACATCTAAAATTATAAACAGGAATCTAAAAAGTTTAAAATACAGAAATGATAAAAATTAATATAAAGATCAAAGGTTAAACTTAAAGCATATCAGTGTATCTGGGTTCACCACTGTGGCTTGTTGCTCGAAAGTATATCTAGACAGCAGTAGGGTTACATTTCATTGTCACCACAGTGCTGAATATATGTTGTAACTTAAGTTCCCAAGGTCTCTGTTTAACTCAGTTTTAGCTAGTTGCTTTAAAGCATATCAGACGGCAGTAAAGTTATATCCCATTCGCTAAACAATGTTGAATATCTCTTGCAGTTTCAATCCCAGAGTCTCTGTATAGGAGCTTTCCAAATGAGACGGTCCAAAACAATTAGGCTCAGTATATTTACAAACTCAATTCCAGCCTGACGGATTCGCTAGCTCCTTTCTGTTTCGTAATTGCTTTCTTTTTCAAAGGTGGAACTGCTCCTCATCTGTAAACACTCAAGCAGAAAAACTTTCTTATCTGGACTCACCAAACATTTCTTCTGGAATATAACTGCTGTAATCTTAAAATGAACAATAGAAAACAACAACAGTAGTAAAGGTAAAGGTTTCCCTTGCTCGAAAGCCAGTCAAATCCGTATCTAGGGGGCGGTGCTCATCTCCGTTTCCAAGCTGAAGAGTCAGCGCTGTCCGAAGACATCTCCGTGGTCATGTAGCCGGCATGACTAGACACCAAGGCACACGGAACGCTGTTTCCTTCCCACCGAAGCGGTACCTATTTATCTACTTTCAATTTCTTGCTTTCGAACTGCTAGGTTGGCAGGAGCTGGGGCCAGAGATGGGAGCTCACTCCATCACGCATCACTCGGGTCTCGAACTGCCGAACTACCAACCTTCTGGTCTGCAGTTCAGCATCTTAACCTCTGAGCCATTGCAGCCCCTTAAATAAAAATAATACTAATAATATATACTGTATTATTGTTGAATAAAGTGCCAACAATACAAACGTAATAATGTTTTTGGTGAACAGTAACTTAAATAAAGTATTTAAACAAAATACTGTGATCGGCCTCGGCCTGGAAGAACTGAGGAGGCCTGACTCCATACAAGGCAGCTTTGTGTGTACCAAGTCCCCTGTTTCTTCTCATCTCTCCGTTCTTTGCAGGTGTCCCCCTGTCTGAGCGTGCTCTCGTGGCTGCTGTTTGTCAACGACACGGATGTCCTGGCTGACGCATGCTGGGCACTCTCCTATTTATCGGATGGCCCCAATGATAAAATCCAGGCTGTGATTGACGCGGGAGTGTGCAGGAGACTCGTGGAGCTGCTGATGTAAGGGCTTAAGAGCAAGCCGTGTGTGTTCCCTCTGCCTTGCAGGTGTCGACCTCTTCCTTGTTGAAAAGGGATTGGCCCGTCGCCTTTCTCGCTTGTTTCTGTGGCTGGAGCACGTATTGCTCCTCTGGGCCATAATCTTGTTGCTCGAAATAGCCTTTGCACTTTAGGAACCTCTCTGCCGTTCTCCTTGACTGTGTTTACGGCAGGCTTTTCTGCTATATTGCTTGTGGAGCTTCCATAGCGATTTACAAATCTGCCACAATCGGGCAACTCTACATGAAAGCTAGGGCAGCAGTACTGGAAGTTAACAAAAAAGGGATATGAAAACAAGAAGCAGTGGCTCTGTCCAAAAGCCAAAAACCGTTCCCGAGGGCTGTTTTGGTGAATCTTGATAGTTGAAAAGCTCCTATCCTGCCTGCCCCACCAGGTCTTACCTCTGTCCAGGTGAACATGCAGAATAGGCACCTGTGCATATTTGACCACTGCTGGGCCAGCTGCACTGGCTTCCATTGGAGCACCGAGTCAAGTTCAAGGTTCTGGCTCTGACTCTGACCTTGAAGGCCTTGAGCGGTCTGGGACCAGCCTATCTGCGGGACCGCCTCCTCTGTTACACCCCCAGGAGAGCGTGATGCTCTTCACAAAACAGCTTGCTGGCGGTCCCCGGCCCTAGAGATATCCGGCTGTCCTTGGGCAGGGCCTTTTCGGCCCTGGCCCCAACCTGGTGGAACTCTCTGCCAAACAACATCAGGGCCCTGCAGGATTTTATGCAATTCCGCAGGGCCTGTAAGGCAGAGGTGTTCCGCCAGGCTTTTGGTTGAGGACAGCCCACATCATGGCGGGCACCAGGGGTCATTTCCTGCAGGAGCACACAGGAGCGGAGCTCCGGCAGTAAAGAGCCCAGGGGGCGGGCACATGCAACAAGCCCCACCCCCTGCTCCCAGCGGCCATTAGTCAGAGCAAGAAACAACCAGGTAAGTTGCAGAGCTCCCCCCCCCCGGCCGCCCGGTCCATCCAAAACAGTCCAGTGGCACCTTTAAGACCAAGTTTTATTAAGGACAAGCTCTCCCTCCTCTGCGAGGACAGATCTGCACGTTTCCCACACACACACACACACACACCAATAGCTAGCAATCCAAAACAGTCCAGTGGAGCATGAGCGGTGGGTGTTGCCTCCTGACACACTTCCGGTGATGTCAGGGGGTGTGGCATATGCAAATAAGTTATGCTAATGAGCCCCATGCACCTCTTTTTCTACGAAATGACCTCTGACTGGCACCCTACCTGAACTCCTATCGCTTGTGGCGTTTACTCCCTCCCGTGCTTCCAAAGCACTCTCAGACCAGATGTGGGAGGGAACTGATTTTTTTCCCCACAACTTGCTTTTAATTGCTATATAATATTCTGGATATGGTTTTTAAATGTGTACGTCACCTGGAGCCCCACAATCATGGGGATTAGGCAATTAATAAATGTAGTGTAATGAATAAAAAAAGTTGAAGGTCAGCAGCGTGTTCTGGTGGGTGGAGGCCGTTAAGTCCCAGCTGATTTACGGTGACCCCAGGGGGTTTTCAAGGCAAGAGAAGTTCAGAGGTGGTTTGCCATTTCCTGCCTTCACATCTCAGCCCTGGTAATCCTTGGTGGTCTCCCATCCAACTCCTCGCCAGGGCCGACCCTGCTTAGCTTCCAAGATCTGACGAGATCAGGCTAGCCTGGGCTCTCCCGGTCAGGGTAGAATCAGCAGCAGTGTTCCCTCTAAGCTGAGTTAGTGCGAGCTAGCTCATCGTTTTTTAGCCTCCAGCTCAAACATTTTTGTCTTAGCTCAGGAAGGAGGGCTCCAGAGAAAACTAATTTATGCAACAGCCAAATCACTCGCTCACAACTTTAATGCCGGTAGCTCACAACGTCGAATTTTTGCTCACAAGACTCCACAGCTTAGAGGGAACGTTGATCAGCAGCCAGTAATAGCTGACAAAGCCTTGGCATGGAAGAGCCCCCCTCCCCCCGATGGCAGGCCCCTATTTGGGATCCTCATCACTTTGTTTGCCGAATGCAGATTTCAGCTTCCGGGCTTCTTTCTGCAGCAACCCCAGGTGTCATCGAGGAGCTACTAATGGCTGGCAGGGGAACCGGCAACAAGGCGGTTTTGGTGGAAGTGGAAGTGAGTGGCCTTTAAGGAGCACAGGTTACGGGCCCTCCTCAGGCTGAGGGTTAATTGGTTTGAAATACCCAATCAGCCGCCTTTCTCAGCGAGACTCAAGTCCACATGCCGTTCTGAGCACTGCTGCGCTAAAGCCCTTACATGTTGGGGGTCCTTGTCCCCACCGTCATTCCCATAGATACAAGAATCTCAGGTGCTGCCATATCCAAGGTGCCAGAAAGGGGGAAGAGAGACTCCTCTGGCTGTCTGATGGCGCTAGTTGCTGTGGCTATTTGGAGGTGGGGAGGAGTTCCTCCCCAGCGGCATCTGGAGAAGAGCTCTTGGGTCACAGTGGGGAAGGCACCGTGGCTGAGTGGTGGACAGGGTTCCCTGTAAGCTGAGTTAGTGTGAGCTAGCCCACAGTCTCTTAGCCTCTGGCTCACACATTTTTGTCTTAGCTCAGGAAGGACGGCTCCAGAGCAAACTCATTTATGCAGCAGCCAAATCGCTCGGCTCACAGCTTTAATGCCAGTAGCTCACAAAGTAGGATTTTTGCTCACAAGACTCCATGGCTTAGAGGGAACATTGGACTGGTGGAATATCTGCTTGAGAGGCAGAAGGTCCCTGGCTCAGTCCCTGGCATCTCTAATTGGGGGAGAGAGAAAAAAGGATCGGGTAGCAGGTGATATGAAAAACCTCCGCCTGGAGAATCTGCTAGTCTGAGGAGGTCATACAGGCTTTGATGGCATTTTCACATCTTCAGCGCTTGCGTTGGATTAGAACAAGACCCAGGATAATAGGAATATAAAAGAAAGGCAGAACTTGGAGGGAAAGGGAACAGACGTGGTGAACACAGAACACTGAGAACTGCACGCTATCAGTGAAATATTTCTGCCATAATTGAACAAAGGGACCTGTCCTGTTTCCCCATATCTTGTTTGTTTGTTTTTTTTTAAAAGGCCCATATTTTCTGCGTTGCATCTCTGGTTTGTTGGGCTCTGTTTGTTCCAAGCTGAGAAGCTGACGTGGCGTGGGAGTCTGTTGGATTGAAGCCCCTGTTCCTTTTTCATTTCAGGCATAATGACTACAAAGTGGTGTCTCCCGCCTTGCGAGCAGTCGGGAACATCGTGACAGGAGATGATATCCAGACCCAGGTACTGACGCAGATGAGTGGGGATCGGCAAGTAACGGTGGGGCAGAATCTTTTGTTTGGTCCTCAAAACAGGGCGCACGGGGGCCGTCCTCTACAGAGTTGCTCCAGTTTAAAGCCCATTCCATTGTGCTGATGGTAGGGCTGAAAAGGGCGTGTCAACTGAGGCATCTTGTCTGCAGGAAAGACCTCTTCCTTGCCTCAGAGTCAGGAAGGCTAGCCAAGCTTCCTTGGCCTGAATCTCTGCCAGCTAATTGTTCCAGCCTGCATCTAAATGTCCGGGAGATCCATTTCTAGTTGTGCATGAGCACTCCACTGGAGCTTTGAGCACTTCTGATTGGACCTAAGAAAATCCATGGGCAAAGGAAATATTTCACGTCTTGATGAGTGGCCCATGTTGCATCACAAATAAATGTGATACCGCATACTCCCCAGGAGAACACCTTAGTGTCCATTCTGTGTGTGATCAGCTTTCTGTTTGTTATTGTTAAATTAATGGAGGGCTCAGTTTGGCTTACACCACTGAGTAAGGCCGGGTGCCGAAACGCATTTGGTATCGGTTGTTGCGTTTGGAGACAGTAGGTACTTTTAAACCTGTATTTATGTAAATAGACATTTGTCTTAATATTGGGATTAGGGACTTATTATATTTTAGCACTTCTAATTGCATTATTAAATTATATAGTGTACATTTGTTTTGTACATTTGTACTATGTGCATAGTTATATTTTATTTTCCTTTGTTCCAACCTTTTTGGTTACCTTTCTCGTGCAGGGTCGTATTTTTCTCCCCTTTTTTTGGTTGTACTTGGATCTGGGAGACCCAGGTTCAAATCCCCACGCTGCCATGGAAGCTTGCTGTGTGGCCTTGGGGCCTGTCACACATCCTCAGCCTAACCTACTTCACAGGGTTGTTGTGGAGATGAAGGGGAGAGGGATGTTGTAATCCACTTTGGATCTCTTTGGGGGGGAAACAACAAATTTATTCACAGCAAAAAGCCAGCACTCTAATACAACAAGCTAACTCAAACTAAATTCATACAACCACAAGCATAAAGGAAATATATAAAATGAATATCTTAACCACTACACCAAACACCAGATATTCCCAGTTGTGGATTTGCTGTTCAGGGGCAAAAATCTGTTCTTTTTTTTCCCCCTACGAGCAAATCTTGTGAAAAACGTGAAAGCCTTCAGTTTTCTGCTTCCCCCACAAGTTTCCTCTTTACATTTTAGATCCGCAAAAATCCGTGCCTTTCTGCTTCCATTGGTTTCGTTTTCTCTGAGATCAAAACGTTCAGGAAACTTGGGTCTTCCAAGCGCAATCTGAGAGCCCCCCCCCCCTCTTTTTCTTTCTTTCTTTCAGGTGATCCTGAATTGTTCAGCCCTGCAGAGTTTATTACATTTGCTAAGCAGTCCGAAAGAGTCGATTAAAAAGGAAGCGTGTTGGACAATATCAAATATCACAGCTGGAAACAGAGCCCAGATCCAGGTAACTGAGCTGGTTTGGTTGAGAGATTCTCTCTCCTCTGCCCCCCCTTTCAGGATAAAATCCAGTCCTAGTCCTGTAGCTGGGTGCGCAAGTGGAGAGACTTTTTTTGTGATTGCTGTTAGTTGCACGGAGTTCTCAACAATCTTCCAAAAAATCGAGGGGCTAAACTTGAAAAGCTTCCAAAGAAGATCTTTAACTTTAACATGCTTCCGCAAAGAAAACAGTATGTTAGATAACTTGGAGATAGATGCTCAGGAGAGTTCTCCCATGATCAGGATAATCTATGCTTCATCCTTTGTCCAGTGGACTGGAGGGTATGACTTGAAGGCACGCCCACCTAGCCGGCCACCGAGAAATGCGTTCAGAGTCATGGATTAAAATGAGTTCCAGGGAGGGAGGGAGAAGGCTTTAAGCAAGTACTCCCAATTTTTTGATTGACACCAAGACTGTGTTTGACTTTTTCCCCCCCAGACGGTCATAGATGCCAACATTTTCCCAGCCCTAATAAATATTTTACAAACGGCCGAATTCCGGACAAGAAAAGAGGCAGCTTGGGCCATCACCAACGCAACCTCCGGCGGCTCTGCTGAGCAGATCAAGTAGGTAGCAGAACGGACTCCAAAGGGCCTGATGGGAAAAGCTCCCAGGAGGGCCCTACGCTATGGTGTGAGCGGGCTAAGATCTGATACCATTTCTCCCCACCCCCGTGTTCAATGGCGGTTGACAAACCTATGGCTGACTGGTCTGTCGGTGGCTATGCTTCAAAGGCAGAAGGCCTCTGACTGTCCAGTGCCAGTCAGCAGCTCAGAGCTGTTTGCCACACGCCTGCAACAGTTCTTGCATGACGTGGGGCATAGAGGTGGTTCCCAAATCAGCGACCATCTCCTTAGGAAAGCCTAGCCTGGCAAAGAACAGTCAGTGACAGTTTTTGCCTCCATGTCCCTCAGTGGTATCACTTTTGGGAACTTCGTAGCAAAGTTCACGATGGTCAGAATATACTTGTTCCCCCGCCTTGTTGCTCTTGAAATAAGCTAACGGTGTCCACTCCTATTTTCGCAAAGGGTTCAGCTACAAAATGTATTGGTTGCAAAAGCTCTTCAGTTTTATCCTGGGCTTTGCCTATCAGTTGGCCTGCTTTGAAGGATTTACAGAAGGCTCTGATGTTCTTTCCCATTTTTGGCCAGTAGAGCACCAGTTTGGTGTCATGGTTTTAAGAGTGTGGGCTCTAATCTGGGAGAACCGGGTTTGATTCCCCACTCCTCCACATGCAGCTGCTGGTGTGACCTTGGGTCAGTCACAAGTTCTTTCAGAGCTGTTCTCTCAAGGGCAGTCCTCGAAAGAGCTCTCTCAGCCCCACCTACCTCACAGGGTGTCTGTTGAGGGGAGGGGAAGGGTAAGAAGATTGTAAGCCACTCTGAGACTCCTTTGGGTAGTGAAGGGCGGGGGTATAAATCCAATCTCCTCCTCTTCTTCCTTGCACCTGCTTTCTAGTCTTGTTTATGCCAAGATGCCCTGACATTGGTGTCTCAGGAGCAAGCTGGAGCATTGCAGCCTGTGCTTTCTGGGTACCACAAGCTGTTTCCTCTTCTGCCAGACTATGGAACCTCTTCTCCCCATAGACACTCTGCAGAGTCTTTGATCTTGGACTTTAGATAGGCAAGGATTCCTGTCTCAGTCTCTGGCTGCCATTGGAAATCAGATGTTGGACTGGAGGGACCGTTGGGCTCATCTGCGCGACTGCTCTGACGTTCTTAACATCCCACCTTCCTTCACACATGTAGTTTAATATGGCTGCCATGGATTCAGACTAGAGGGGCAATTTCCACTGGTAATCCCCCTTCCTAAGGGAGCTTCAACTCTCAAAAACATACGCCCTGAAACTCTCGTCTGCCTCCAAGGTGCTACTGGACTCTGACTTAGCTGCCCTCCTGCAGACTTGACATGGCTGCTCTCTGAGAATACCTTCCTCTTGTCATTCCTCTAGGCCACCTGTCCCCCAGGGGCAGCATTTCGTAGGGATTAGTGGGCTTCAGTGGGAGGTGGGAAAGTTTCAAGCCGCCACTGGAAACCTTAGGATCCAGTTTGCTTAGAGAGCCGGTGTGGTATAGTTAAGTGTGTCAGACTAGGATTTGGGAAGGCCCAGGTTCAGACCCGCACTCTGCCCACGAAAACGTACGTGGATGACCTCGGGCTGGTCACACACTCTCAGCCTATCCTGCTTCACAGGGAGAGAATGACATAAGCCGGGAAGGTACCGGCTGGATCTGAGGGAAAACTTTCTTACAGTCAGATTTGTGCAGCAGTGGAATCAGCTGCCTCGGGAGGTGGTGAGCTCCCCCTCGCTGGCAGTCTTTAGGCAGCGGATGGATGGCCCCTTCCAGCGCTGTTTATTCTGTGAAGCCATTTTGGATCCCCATTGGGAAGAAAGGGTGGGATGTTAATAGAAGCCTTTTTGCTTTCTTGAACATTTCCCAGGTTCTTGTCAGCCACTAATAACTGTGCTGGCACGATAGGCGGGCCGCTGTTCCCACCTTCCTTCCTAACACCCCCCCCCCCAAGCACAACTCTCTTGAGCCGCCGTCCTTGCACCACCCCAGACCCTGCACGCTCTGATACGTGAGCTCACCAAGGTGTGCATCGTCGACCTTTCTGATGGCCTCGCCTTCCTTGAAACCCTTTTGAGTGACTGACCGTCCACAATCTGTCTCAGGTACCTGGTGGAGCTTGGCTGCATCAAACCCCTCTGTGACCTCCTGACGGTGATGGACTCGAAGATTGTGCAGGTGGCACTCAATGGGCTGGAAAACATCCTGCGGCTGGGCGAGCAAGAAGCCAGGCGCGGCGGCACTGGCATCAACCCCTACTGTGCCCTCATCGAGGAGGCCTACGGTAAGGGGATGGGGTGGGGGTGGCAGCCTTGGGGCCGGGTGAATAGCGAGTGGATTCGCTTTTCCGTTGGGCCCGTTGGTGCTCTGTTGGCAGTATAATTATTAGTCCGCGTTCATCATCCCAAAGCAGAGGGAAGCGTGCTTTCTAGCAAACACTGGCTCAAGTAGAAGCAACATATGGCAAATCTTTTTTGCCCTTAAGCATTTGCTTCCCTTCGTGAACAAGTCACGAGAGAGCGTTGGTCACCTTTAATTTTCCATAGATCCAGAGGAGTTTAGCCATGTTAGTCTGTTGCTGCAAAAGAGTAAAAAGCCCAGCAGCACCTTTAAGACTTAACAAACTTCACTGTAGCGTAAGCTTTTGAGAAACACAGCTCTCTTCGTCAGATGCATGTCATACCCTCCGTGCATCTGATGAAGAGAGCTGTGTTTCTCAAAGCTTATGCTACGATAAAGTTTGTTAGTCTTAACGGTGCTACTGGGCTTTTTACTATTTAATTTTCCAGTTTGCCTGTGTACATTTCTTCAGTTACTCAGTGCAAATGTAACGGGGGGGGGGTGCGCACCCCCCCCTTTCAAAATACGGGCAAGACTCTGGTGGAAAACTGGAAGGGACAATCATGCTAGGAAAAGCTGAAGGCAGCAGGAAATGAGGAGGACCCTGCATGAGATAGAAGCCCACGGCCCTTGCTAGGAAAAGCTGAAGGCAGCAGAAAATGAGGAGGACCCTGCATGAGATAGATTGACAGTCAAGGAAGCCCACGGCCCTTCGTTTGCAAGACCTGCGCAAGGCTGTCTACGATAGGACGTTTTGGAGGTCATTAATTTATAACTACTTGACAGCATGTATCACAGGCAATCGTGGCTTCTTTAACGCTCTTTATCAGGGGGGGAAACAAGTTGCCTTGAGTCGTTCTGCAGGCTGACAAAGAATAAAGACTCTCGGAATGCCTTAGCATTGATTGCAGTGCTTGAGGGATCACAGGGTGGGTTATCTCTTATCTCATTCTCTGACTCTTAAGCAGCACTTGGGGAGTCTGGGGTTGTGGAGAGGTAAAGGGTATATGTGGCTGCCCTGAGGCCTTTTGACCATGACTTTTCTCAGAAGATTGTGCCAAACCACGTCTTGGAAAGGTCACAGCCAAGCAGGAAAAGTGGACAACTCGGGGACGATGTCATGTGGATGTTTCAAAGAATCCTCCTCCAGTTCATATATGAAACTGGAGGAAAACTTCCCTGGGAGGAGTGGCTTCTCAGTGCAGTTTGGTGTAGTGGTTAAGTGTGCGGACTCTAATCTGGGAGAACCGGGTTTGATTCCTCACTCCTCCACTTGCACCTGCTGATGTGACCTTGGGTCAGTCGCAAGCTCTGGCACAGCTGTCCTTGAAAAAGAGCCGTTTGTGTCAGAGTTCTCTCAGCCCCACCCACCTCACAGGGTGTCTGTTGTGGGGAGGGGAAGGGAAAGGAGTTTGTAAGCCGCTCTGAGACACCTTTGGGTAGTGAAGGGCGGGGTATAAATCCAATCTCTTCTTCTTCTGTTGACAGGAGGAGCTGTAGCTCAGGGGTAGAGCGACTGCTTGGCATGCAGAAGGTCCCAGGTTCAATCTCCATCCCCCCCCCCCCCGGCATCTCCAATTCAAAAAGAGCAGGCAGTAGGTGACAGAATTCTATCTGAGACCCTGGGGAGCCACTGCCAGTCCAAGCAAACAATGCCATCTTTGCCCCGCTTTACCTATCATCGGCCTCCACAATATTTTATACAATCAAACGCAGGGTTTTAGATATTCAATTTCAGTGCCTGACTGAGGCAGCCAGGAAAACATGTTCTCCAATTCATTTGTGATTATCCCAGACATTGGGCCAGGCAGCTACTTACTTTTGCTCTCTAACCGATCCCCATCAAAGAAGGGCATTTATGTTAGCTAGATTTAATGCATTGCCATCGGCCATCTTCTTTGGAAGATGCCAAAAAATTCCCCTACGAACTTAGACAATGCCCCTGTAGTCAGAGTGCTGTTCTTTTAAATTGTCCATTTTATACTAAGACCTGAGAAAAAAAATTGGACACTTTTCTCTTTACTTGGCGCAGTCTTTCTGAGAGCGTCAAGGTCCAGTTGTTACTCTCTGGGCATAACTCTTATATAACTCTTAATATTGCCTGTTTTCTTCAATCAGTAATTCGAACTAGGGAAACTATTAACTGATCAGTTCTTTTTTGTTGGCCGTAGGACACCCACACTTTTGATGTATCCCTCAATTTTAAAGTATTTTTTAATTTCCGATATGCCATTAAAGGTTGTCTACATCTGTCTACTGTCTCGGATGGACCAAGGGTCTGATTCAGTATAAGGCAGCTTCATATGTCCACAAGACAGTGTTGGTTCAGACAGCCTTCTTCCCCCCCCCCCTTTTGCATTTGTGTGTGTGTGTGACCTTGTTCAAGATTTGAGGAGGGTCTTGTGTTTTCCCTCGCAGGCCTGGATAAGATCGAGTTCCTGCAGAGCCACGAGAACCAAGAGATCTACCAGAAAGCCTTCGACCTCATCGAGCACTACTTTGGGACGGAGGAGGAAGACAGCAGCATCGCCCCGCAGGTGGATCTCGGCCAGCAGCAGTACATCTTCCAGCAGTGTGAGGCTCCCATGGAAGGCTTCCAGCTGTGAGCCCGCCCTCCCCCTCACTCTGTGTTGCTGTGCCTGGCCAGTCCGGTCGTAGAGCCCCGAGTCACCCATCGAGTGGCCCCGTTTTCCGTAAACACCCGTCTGCGCGCTCTCTTGCTTGCTTCTTTGCGCACACGCTTCCTCAGAACCACATTTGGAAAACGATTTTTTTTGGCTCTCCGTCATGGGATACCACTCGGGTCAGGGCTTAGCGCCATCGCTCTTGTTTTCCACCTCTCCGGAGGCGGGGCACCTCCGCCGAGCGACAGGGACGTCCGTCTTCTCCCAGCAAGAGTCCACACTAAAGCGGCGGCGTTCCAGTTTTCCAAAACGAGGGTCGGAGTTTTCTCTTGTGCGTGTGTGTGTGTGTGTGCGGTGCAGTGTTTTTGGAGTCGAGACGGAAGCTCTGAGAGACACTTCTTTTCCCGCGCCCTCTCCCGGGCGCCTGCTTTGTTGGATGGGGTTTCAGAGAAGCATATTGATGCTGCCACAGGATGGATTTGGACGGTGGCTTTTCTCTGTGTGTGCGTGTGCACGGCAGCCTTGGATCCTGATAATATATAAATATACCTATGATAACTTCACGGATGTATTACACTGAGCTCTCTGTTCCCTGTGTCAGCGCCCCGCCCCCCCGGTGAATCAGCGGCTCCGGTTAGTAGGAACACCATACTGTTGAAAACTGTTTCTCTCGTAAGCGGACTCTTGCGCGCCTCTGTGGTTTGGCTGCACGCACGGGATTTGTGTGGTCTCTTCAGACTGCCCAAGGAACTGAAAACCGGCCTCTCTCTTTTCCTTCCCGGTGGCACAGTCCCGTTCTGATTGCGATGACACCCTCGATCGGGTCGGGGGAAGGCGGAGGAACCATTCCGCTCATTCCCCATGGCATAAAGCGACTCTCTGTATGTTCAGATTTACTCGTGTTTTCAGCAGCCCTCCTCGAGAAGGTCATCGGAGTTGAGGAATTTCCCCCCACTTGAGTGTTATACCCGGCCAGATCGAGCGGGGCTCTCTGCAAATCACATTTTGTCGTGAACTCTTTAATATGCTAAATGATGGGCGCGAGAGAACGAATGCGGCTCCCCCAGTTTGCATCTGCTTCTGTGGACTGCTGTTCTCAAGTTGGGTCAGAAAGGAGGCCCGAGCACTGCTGTTTTCATTGCGCGCCACACGAGCACCTCTAACAGAATCTAAGCCGCCGAAGCAGCGTCTGCCTTTCATGGCTACACTACAGACATTTCCCCTGGAACGTTCCTTTCTGACCTCTTAACAGTACGTCCGACTTAACAGTACGTTTCATTTCTGGCAAAACTTCAGCACTTCAGTTCACTTCTTCCCCCCAGCCAGCTGTGACACAGCACGGCTTCTGTGTACCTGTAGAATGCATCAAGATTGCAGCCCTCCGTGTGGGCGGGATGCAGGCACCGGATACGAATCCTGGTCGGGCTTTGATCTTCTCTTCCCCAAGGCTGGCCGACCTTGGTAGCATAGTCTTAATCTAACCAAGGGGATCCGCCGTATAAGCAAGGCAGTTTGCTGTTCTGTGGCCGCCCGGGTTCCACAGCAGGGATTCTACCTTCTCCGGCATCTTCTTTCGTCAGTTGGAACTTTCAGAACAAAGGACTTCTCCGATGCAAATATCACACACCCATAACCAGTTCTGTTGTCAGAACTGCTCGAGGGATCCTCCTTGGGACAATTCACTGAAGATGACTGACCCGGAGGGCGAGCGCCCACAGGGAAATCCACTTTGTCGAACACTTAGAAAATCCGGTCTGATCAGCGCTCTGTGGCCTGACTCTTCCGTTCTTCCCGAACAGTTTGCGTCCACATCTGCGCTTCAGGACGGAAGCTTCCGCAGCCGCTACTTCCGTCCATTGTCTGTCGCTGGGCAGCCCCCAGATGACTTCCTTCAGTGCGACTCGATGCTGAAGAAACACCTTGGGGGGCGTAAGCCATGGTCGGCCTCTAAGTGGACTTCAGTCGTTTGTGATTTTAGGGTTTTGGAATTATTGCGGAGGTCTTTTTGCAAAATACCATCCCCGGTGGTTTTGGGGGAGGGCAGACGTTTTCCCCGCCCCCACGTGTGGGCAAGAAGCCGTGCTTTCATTTCTGAATTTTGGCTTTGGTGATGCAGCACAGGGGTGTAGCTAATGTGGTTCCCTGGCTGGCTGGGACTGGCTTCCAGGGTGGGGGGGGGTAAGGAAGCCCCCTCCCCTTTAAAGGAAGAGAAGGCGTGGAAGTGTCAGAAGGGGTTAGAAACACTGCACGGAAAAAAGGTAAGCGGGGTGGGAGGGGGTGGGGGATTGTTTCACAAAATGTTTTGCTCCGAAAACGTTTGTGGTTGACAAGTTTGGAGCAGTACTATTTAAAGCTTAGTTGGGTAATTTAAAGAAACAAATCTCAATGTTGCCTTTACATCCCATAGTAAATAACCACATTTCTTTCTTGAAGGCTGGTAGAAGCACTGAGGAGTAGCGATCTTGTTTCGGCTTCCAGAATTATTATTTTTTTTTGTGGCTGGATTTTTTAAAAGTGTAAATTACCGATCAATGACATGTCATTTCTATATTAAGATTTGTTTTAAATCATGTACTTTATTGGATAGTATTGGGGAGGAGGGGAGGGGAAAGCTACATATTTTGTACGCCAACTTCAGTGAAGCGTTCTGTATGTGTGCGATATTAGAAATGTCTCACATACACAACCACTGACGGTGTGTGTATATGTGTGTGCATACATAAGAGTATATATGCACAGACACACTCCAGTGTGTGCGCCTAATGTGTATGTATATATGTATATTGACACACATCCTATATCTTTCTCACACTGAAAGTTTTTTCTCCCGGGCTTGTGAGAACGTGGTGCATTTGTGTTCCTGCTAGGAAATAATGACAATTCTCTCTCAAAGGGGTGAATTAAACCATAAACACATTCAAATGGAACGGCATCCTCTTTTTTTCTGGGCGGACGTCGGCTCTCTGTATAGTAATATCTGTGGCACAGGCTGCAAATCAGAGTCGCTCATACTGCCAAAATCTGCATTATTTGGGAAGTGGAAGGTGATATGAGCAGGGGTCATTTCCTGCAGGAGCGCACAGGAGCGGAGCTCCGGCAGTAAAGAGCCCAGGGGGCGGGCGGGCATATGCAACAAGCCCCACCCCCTGCTCCCAGCTGCCCTCAGTCAGAGCAAGAAGTTGCCAGGTAAGCTGCAGAGCCCCTCCCCGGCCCCCCTGGTCCAAGACAGTCCAGTGGCACCTTTAAGACCAAGTTTTATTCAGGTACAAGCTCTCCCTCCTCTGCGAGGACAGATCTGCACGTCCCCCCCCCCAATAGCTACCAATAAAAACAGTCCAGTGGAGCCTGAGCGGTGAGTGTTGCCTTCTGATACACTTCCGGTGATGTCAGGGGGTGTGGCACATGCAAATAAGTTATGCTAATGAGCTCCTGCACCTCATTTTCTACAAAATGACCCCTGGCATATGAGAGAGTTCTGATTGGTGGATAGGGGTCGAACAGGGGTCCCCAACACTGTGCCCCTGGGCACCATGGTGCCTGCCAATACCTCTTCCTTACGTCTGCTACGGGTTTCTAGGAAATGGGTGGGGCCAGATGGGCCTTTTGCTCAACAAGGGTTCTGATTGGTCACTGGAGATTTGGTTGGCTGTGCAGATTCTTTAAAAAAATTGCTTTGGCAGCAGCTGCCACCACAGGACCCAGGATCTTCACCGCGGCAGTCGTTTTGTGGCTGCTCCATGGTGTGTCAGAATCCCAGAGGTGCCCACCACGGGCTCAAAAAAGTTGGGCACGTCAAGCTGCCACCACAGGACCCAGGATCTTCACGGCGGCAGTCGTTTTGTGGCTGCTCCCGCCATGCTGTGTCAGAGCGTCAGAGGTGCCCATGACGGGCTCAAAAAAGTTGGGCACGTCTGGCCTAGGAGAATGTGGCCAGAGAGACTGGAGATCTTATCGGTGGGGACAGGTACGAATCTTGGGTTCTGCTTTCAGTACCACACAAGACATTCTTTGGTCGTAGACTCGTCTCAGACCCTGGAGGCTGATTAGCTTGGCTGCTGGGGCGGGTGAGAAACGGGTCTTGGCACAACAGAGTCGATGGCATCTCCCCTTAACATTGCAAACTGCACGGCAGAGAATAGTCGCTCCCAACCATTGCTACTGTATATTGGGGAGGGCTGGTGGCTTGGTGGTAGAGCATCGGTTTGGCATGCAGCGGAGGAAGAAGAGGAGATGGGATTTATACCCTGCCCTTCACTCGGAGTCTCAGAGCGGCTGACAAACTCCTTGCCCTTCCCCTCCCCTGCGTGCCGCTCTGCTGGAGAACCCGAACACACGAAGCTGCCTTATATTGAATCAACACTATTGGTACATCGATGCCAGTAACTGTCGAACTCACACTGGTGGCCAGCTCTTCCAGTTCTCGGGCCGAGAGGTCTTTCCCGTCACCTACTACATGTCCCTTTCAGCTGGGGATGTTGGGAACTGAACCTAGGAGAGCCAGTTTGGTGTAGTGGTTAAGTGCACTGACTCTGATCTGGGAGAACTGGGTTTGATTCCCCACTCCTCCACTTGCAGCAGCTGGATGACCTTGGGGCAAGCCAGAGCTGTTTTCAAACTAGAGCAGCCGGAATAGCCCAGATTAGCCCGAGCTTGCTGGAGCGTAGAAGCGAAGCTGGGCCAGATATGGTTAATATGTGAATGGGAGGCCACCAAGGGAAACCAGGGTGGGCTGTGCAAAGGAAGGCAACGGCAAACCTGCCACATGGGTGGGTTGCCATGAGTCAGTTGCGACTGAGCGGCACATCCTTCTCAAACTAGTGCCAGCATGGCATAGAGGTCAGCGTGTTAGACAAGGATCTGGAAGATCTAGGTTCGGATCCCCTCTCTGCCCTGGAAGCTTGTTGGGTGACCTTGGGCCAGTCACACACTCTCACCCAGCTGTTAGGATCAAAAGGACAGGAGAGAGCAACGTAACATGCTTTGGCTCCTCATTGGGGAGAAAAACAGGGCACGAATATCTAAATAGGATGTGGACCGTCCTCTGGGGTATGTGAGGTGTGGGGGGGGCGCACTTTCAGGGCGCACTTTCAGTGAAAGAGTGATTTTCCTGAAGCAGACTGACTGATCCACACTAGTCTGGTGTGTGTGACCCCTCCCTTACTATCCTGTCGCCACTATTCCTTGCTCGGTCTCAGAAGGTCCCTCTGCTTTCAGTAGGGAACTGGGGATTCTTTTCCACGGCCAGCATTAACTTGAATGCGAGGCTCTCTCAACAGGAACCCCCCCCCAACAGCAGGCAACAGTCTGAGCCAAGTCACGCCTAAGCCAGTATGCTTGAATTATGCTTAGATATCAGGGCATGAACACTTAACCTAGCAACCACAAAACAGGCGTCCATGCTTACAGGCCACGCACTTCATTGACTCGTAAATATTGTAGGATCCGAATTGCCTGGCTTTAATCATTGTTACACACAGAAGCGCAAGTTCAGTCGCCTGCCAGACTTCTGTGGCATCTTCAGTGTGTTTCTTAGGCTGAAGTCTTGCACTTTGCGGCAACTTTGCCCTGAGGTGGGGGAAAATACGTCGCATTACCTCAGTACGCTCCCCATCAGAATTGGATTTTATACCCACGCCCTTCACTACCCGAAGGAGTCTTGGAGCGGCTTACGATCGCCTTCCCCTCCCCACAACAGACACCCTGTGAGGCAGGTGGGGCCAAGAGAGTTCTTTTGGAGACTGCTCTTGAGAGAACAGCTCTGAGAGAGCTTGTGATTGACCCAAGGTCACACGAGAAGCTGCATGTGGAGGAGGAGTGGGGAATCAAGGTCAGCTCTCCCAGATTACAGTCCGCACTGCTAAACCACTACACCACACTGGCTCTCTCGGCCTTGCAAGGTAAGGTATCTCTTCCCAGTCTCTCCAGTTGCGCAGTGGAGCTTGTGTGTGTGAGTGTGTGTGTGTGTGAGAGAGAGAGAGAGAGAGAGAGAGAGGCTGAAGCCCAGGAAGGTCTGGCTTGCTGGCTGCTGCTGTGACATGTAACGCTGGCGGTTTTCACAGCAGGCGGAGATACGGTCACGCCGGGAAATAAACCCACCCCAAGCCCCACCTTCTACGACAAGTCCCGTACAATTAGACGATCACCTAAAAAAAACCACAAAAAGCTAGACAGATTTTTTGAAGGATGTGAATTCTCCCTTCCCAATGTTGTTTCCCTCCCTGCCCTCTCTAGCACGTGTAGCGAGGAGTCCTCCTAAACAGGAACTGGTTCCTCCCATTCCCCACGAGAGCCCTGCATGCCGTCTTATCTCTCCCATCCCGTGTCCACAGACAGCAGCTCCCTTTCTTTCTGTCCCTCCCCAGTCCAAGGATGCCCTCCCGACTGGCTTCTGCCAGTGGCAGTCCCAGGATAAGGCTGTGCCCTGGGAGGTGTGAAACTTCCTGCCTTTGCCAGCACTTCACTCCCTTCTTTCTGCCTGGAGCTCTCCTGTTTGCAGAGCAAATACCGGCCATCGATTTTCCACGTAGAAGGTTGCAGATCTTCCATTTTGTAGAAATAAGAGTGGATTTTGACCAGATGAAGGGCAAGACCCCCTGCAGTCTCCTTGAATCTCTCTGTGGGTGGGGGTTGGAAAAAAAAACCTTTTGATTTGATGATTGCAACTATTTTTCTGCCCACCTGGAGATAAACAGGGACTCTTTGGGAAGCTTTTTATCGGCCAGATGCAGCCCCCTTTTCCCCCTGAATCCCCCCCCCCCCTGAGATTTAGTCAGATTTTTTATGGCTAGGACAAACTGTCTTGGTTTTTAAGTGAATTGCGTTCTCGGGCTCTGCCGTGAGAGCGAGCTGGGGAAACGGTGCAGCCCGTAGCAGCGGCAGTTTCATAAGAAGCCGGTCCTTTTGTCTGCCAGTGAATCCACCAGTCAGCAGAGGTTGTCCAGGTTTTATTTCCTTCCTCTTGCATTGCAATTGACATGCACGAATACAGACATGCTTTGGTAAGATGGGAGTCACTGGAGCAGGGGTGTCAAACGTAAGGCTGGGGGGGCCGGAAGCGGCCCATCCAGGACTATTAATGCAGCCCGTGAGCAACTGGTGCAAGGGAGGGAACAGGAGACTGTGGGGAGGGGGAATGGAGCCACTCAAATTGTCACTTCGGCAAGGCGGGACAACCTCGTCTGCATCAGTCAAGCAGAACCCTTTCAGGGACTGGTAAGTTGGGACCCACTGCAGCTGCATTCATACCTCTCCACTCAGCCTGCGGTTCCAGGGGTGCTGTCCCGGATGAGATCAGTGTTTGCACGTGGGGGTGCAGAGTCTTCCATTGGAACATCAGAGTGTCTGCCCAGCGTTGCGCTGCTGGCTCTCCAGTCTGTCCGTGTGGGTTTTCCTCTGCACCCCACTCCCAGCCCATGGAGCCTTGCAGTGAGGAGGACACGTTAACTCGGAGCTTACCAGTTGCTGTCCTTTATAAGGTTTATATCTCCGGTACCTGGCATTACATTTTATGACACACAAGGCCTGGCCCAACAAAGTGACATTTATGTCAGACCTGGCCGTCATAGCAAATGAGTTCGGCACCTCTGAGCTAGAGAAATGCTCCTTCCAGGCAAAAGGAAAGACATAAAACAGTTTTAACCTTGGCTCCGTGAGGATTTATTTTCCCCCAAAGCTCAGTCATAGCCCTGACTGGATAGCCAAGGGAAGCTCAATCCCATGAGATCTTGGAAGCTCAGCATGGTCGACTCTGGCAAGGACCTCCTTGGAATACCAGCAGTCGGGAGGTGGGGCAGGCTTTATCAGCCACCTCTCTGGATATCCTCCAGGCCCCCAGTGGGGGTCAGTCACCAGAGGTCGCTGTGACTTCCAGGTACGCACACACTCGCATGCATGAAAAATACAAAAAAAAAAGGTTCCACCCCCTAGAGTCGGGATTCGACTGGCTTTCGAGCAAGGGGGACCTTTACTTTTTACTTTATTCCTGGCCTGGATGGCCCGGGGCTAGGCTGATCTCATCAGATCTCGGAAGTTAAACAAGGTCAGCCCTGTCTAATAACTTGGATAGGAGACCTCCAAGGAATACCAGGGTCGTGGTCAGTGTTCCCTCTAAGCTGGGTTAGTGTGAGCTAGTTCACAGGTTTTTTTGCCTCCGCCTACCACATTTTTGTCTTAGCTCAGGAAGGATGGCACCAAAACAAACTGATTTATGCAGCAGCCAAATCGCTCGCTCACAACTTTAATGCCAGTAGCTTGAATTTTTGCTCACAAGATTCCACAGCTTAGAGGAAACACTGGTCGTGGTGCGAAGGCAGGCAATGGCAAAGCCACCTCTGCACATCTCTGGCCCTGAAAACCATACAGGGTTGCCACAAGTCAGCTGTGACTTGACAGCACTTTGCACCACGTTTCCTAAAACGATGGCTTCTGAAAACCTCGGGGACAGTGGCAAGTGCTTTAGGGAATTTCAGACCGTCACCAAAATAAGCAGCTATCGATCACTGCAATTTACTGTGAAAAAATTTGGCTTCTACAGATAAAATCTTACAAACAAGCAATAGTGCAATATATATATATATACTCCTTTACTGCTGCCGCGGTGTGTGTTTACATTAAGTACAAGGGAAAACACACTGTGTGAAGACATCCCTGCTTCTCGTTGATACAAAACAAGCTTTACATACATTTTTCTCCAGTCAAGATCAATTCGGTACCTTTTGCAGGCCTGCCACATGGGCAGGGCAGCACGCATTTGACAAGGGCCTTGAACGTTAAGAGCCTCATAGGTGAACGGAAAGTCCGGTTTCCTTTACATGCTATTAATGGGTGCCCAACACAAGCAAAACACGGAAGTCCTCGTTGGGAAGGAACGAAGCTTTGGGGCTGTTAGCAAATAATTTATTCCCTGTTTCTGAAACACAAAAAGCTACAACTTGCGCCCCGGTGTTATTGGTTAGGGCTTGGCCAGGGTGCTCTGGGCCTCTTCTCTCAAGCGAGCTTTTTTCTCCAAATTCATGCTGGTGAGGGATTCATGTCTTCCAACAGCCTGCAGGAGAAGACCAGAGGCGGCAAATAAGGGTACAGAACTTTATGGGAACGGCAACCCAACCACGGGGCTCTTCAGCCCAGAACCCAGGAGTTACGGATGCCGCACACTTGGGCTCCGCAGTCTAAGGCGGGCTGCTACTGAGGCTGTAGGTCGTGCTTTTGAGCATTCGAAGTACTTCAGAAATAGAATGCCCTTGTAATGAAGGACATTATAGCCTTTCGCCTTTTATTGATTTTGCAGCTACAGGCCAACGCCACCTGGAACGCCTAGGGAGGTGCTGGCAGAAATAAGAACGAAATGCAGTTCCTGCTCCAGAGCCAGTTTCGTGTAGTAGAAAAGAGCAAGAATCCAGTAGCACCTTAAAGTCTAACATAATATGTTGCTGGGTACGAGCTTTTGTGAGTCACGGCTCACTTCTTCAGATATGTGAGCAGTGATTCACGAAAGCTCCTCCCCTGCCCCATATTTTGTTAGCCTTTAAGGTGCTACTAGACTCTTCCTCTTTTCTACTGCTACAGGCAGACTAACACGGCTACCCATCTTGATCTATCAGCATGGTGTAATGGTTAGGAGCGGCAGCCGCTGAACTGGAGAACCGGGTTCGATTCCCCACTTGTATGATGGTCCATCTCCTTGATCATTCTGATTTCATTTCTTCAGCTCTCCTCTATCCTTTTTGAGGTGGGGAGGGGTTTAGAAGAAGAGACTGGATTCATACCCCACCCTTCACTACCTGAATGAGTTTCAGAGCTGCTTACAATCTTTTTTCCCTTCCCCTCCCCACAACATGAGGTAGGTGGGGCTGAGGCAGGTGGGGCTGAGAGAGCTCTTTTCGAGAACTGCTCATGAGAGAACAGCTCTGAGAGAACTTGTAACCGGCCCAAGGTCACACCAGCAGCTGCATGTGGAGGAGTGGTGAATCAAACCCGGTTGTGGGGTGGGGAATCAAACCCAGAAGGGAAGGTAGTTCTGAGCCGTTCTGAGACTCCTTAAGGCAGAGAAAAGTGGGAAATTAAAAAGCAGCAACTCCTCTTCACAGCCCAGTCTCTTAGTGGCTGGGTCACATCTGCTCTCTTGATTTAAAAAAGGCAATTTCCCCCTCATAAGCAGTATGTGTTTAGTTTAGTTGGACAGGTTTATTGCAGACACCACCAGAATACGCTGCACTGTGCTTCAGGCTTCTCACTGCCCTTGAATATACTTTACAGAATGTCACGGGACGGTGCCGATGGCACCCAAGAGAAAGGGGAGTCCTGCCCCTGGCAGCCCTGCTTGTCTCTTTGCACTCACCCGTTTCCCCGAGATGACCATGGCCACGCAGCCCATGATGGTCAAGGCGATCATCAGGTAGCTTATCCTCACGCGGACCTTGTTCCTGGCAACATCGACCACTTCGAACCTGAAAAAGAGCCAACGCAACAGCGTCACCCTAAGAGCGAGAACAACGTTTGGGTCCTTTAAGGCACCTTTAAGACCGACAAAGTTGAAGTCTTCACTTCTGCACGCACACGGAAGCTTATACCCAGAATTAAACTTTGTTGG